GGAGCAGAGACAGGCAAATCTCTGTGAGATAGAGGCCAACCTGTTCTAAGTAGCAAGTTCCAGGCCAGCTAGGGTTACAGGGAAACCTTGACTCAAAAAGACAAATAAGTAATTAAGGAAAACAAAGACTTTTAATATTTTCCCTCTGCCATTCCTCAGCATGTATCAACTCAGTTTATCTTTGGATTATATTGTTAGAATGCTTCATCTAAAAAAAAAAAAAGACAAAACTGATCTTTGTTTTGCCAGCTTGAGTTTCTTTTTTAATATTTTATGTATGTGTGTATTGCCTGCATGTAAGTGCACCTGTGTTGTGCAGTGCCCACAGATGACAGAAGAGGGTGTCTGATCCCCTGGAATGGAGTTACAGATAGTTGTTAGCTGTCATGTGGGTGCCAGAATTCAAACCCAGGTCTTCTGCAAGAACAGCCAGTGCTCTTAACCACTGAGTCAGCTCTCCAACCCCACCAACTTTGAGTTTCATAAAAAAAAAAAAAAAAAAGTTAAGCTGGGCATGGTGGCACACACCTTTAATCCCAGCATTTGGGAGGCAGAGGCAGGGGGATCTCTGTGAGTTCAAGGCTAGCCTGGTCTACATAGTGAGTTCCAGGACAGCTGGGGCTACAGGGAGACCCTGCCTCAAAAGAAAAAAAAAAAAGTTAAATGAATTTTGACTTGGGATTTAGGTCAGAATCTCCAACAATTTTTTTGGAGGCAAAGTGGTGTTCTCAGCACTCAGGATTACAAAAACAAACTATTGATCAACTGAGAAAAACATTCACGATGCTGTATATCCTACAGTATCAATATTCAGCCAAACTTATTTATGTAAAATTAAACAAGCACATCCATCTCATCAGCATGTGAATTTGTCTTCATCTGTAATTAAATGAAAAAATTATGTGTATATCAAAGATTGTTTAAACATTTTCTTGTTCAGCATGTCTTTATTCCCAGCACTTGTGAGGTAGAGGCAGGTGGGTCTCTGTGAGTTCTAGGCCAGCCAGGGATACATAAGTGAGACCCTGTCTCAACCCCTACCCCCAAAGATAAATAAAATGAATTTCTTTATAATTACCAGGTCTCTGCCACAACATCTTTCTGTATTTCAGGATCCAGTTTAAGGCAGTCCACTTCTCTCAGTTATCAACTGGGTGTCCTTAGTTTCCTCTATTCAGTTACAAAATTTTGGTCTTTCCTTGTTTGTTATGACTTTGACAGTTTTGAGGAGAATTAGTCAGGTATTTTATAGAATATCTTTCCATTCTGGTCGAGCTGCATACACACACACACACATACACACATATGACTGGGTTACAGTTTGAGGGAAGAATTCTATAGGTCCTTATCATTACATCATACTAGATGGTACGTGCTGTCAACATGATTTATTGATGATACTAACTTTGACTACCTAGCCAAGCCAATGCAGTGTTTGCTGGTTTTTGCCCTGTAAAGTTGTTTCCTTTTCCATACTTTTTGTCATTGTTTTGACACAGAGTCTCATTCTTAGCCTTGGATTCCCAGCAGTCCTTTTGCCTCACCTTCCTAGAGTGTTGGGCTTGGCTTCTTTTCCATACTTTATTCTTTGGAAGTTAGTCACTAAATTTAGTTCATTCCCAAGGGGAAAGAGAAAACTGAGCTCCGGCCCAGGGCCCAGTGAAGGTAGAGGTATTGTGTTCAGCCAATTAATGGTCCTCCAAAGATATCTACATTCTAATTATCTGTTAATGTCATCTTTTTTGAGAATGTGATTGAAATGCTGATTGCAGGACTGGGGAAGAATATTCTACATTATCTGAGAGGGCCTGAAATAATTGTGATATTTTTTTCCTTTGAGATAGGGTCTCACTATGCAGTCCAGGCTGACCTTGAACTTTATGATGATTCTTAGAAAAGTAAAGTGAGAAGGCACCCTGAAGATGGAAACAGGAAGTGGAGTGATAGGTCAGGAGTCAACCAACAGCATAAAAAGGAGACCGACATGGTTTTAAAGCCAATTTTCCATCAAGAAACTGAAATTTGATCATATTCCTCAAATCTCTGGAAATAAATAGTAATCTTGACAGAGAAGGATCATTGTTTCCTTACCAGATTAGCAAACTATAGGAATAGTTATATATAGTGATGGTGAGTATGCAGGGACATAAACAGCTGATAAAAATATATATTTTTTGGTGAAAATAGACAATGTATCTTAAAAACATAAATAAGTTCATTCTTTGACTAAGTCATCTTAATTAAGATCTGTTTTATAGAAATAAAAGCACAAACTTGTAAAGACTTAGAAAGATGTTATAGCATGTGTTCTATCAATATGAATGCTGCCTACTTTTTTGAACTGGGCAATAAGTACTTGCTTGTGAACATTTCTCTTCCTAACAAAACAATCCATAAGCAAATATTCTCTTATTTACTTCCAAATGTGTTCTAGATCCAGCCGTTCTGCTCTAATAGCATGGTGTTTCCCTAGTGAATAGACATAGACCAATTTTAAAAACTGTTATTCTTAATTTTGGATATGCCATAATTTATACTACCATTATTTTTAGTCTTTTACCATTAACTAGTAAGTAGTAGAGATTACCATAGATATTTAATGTTTATTAAAGACTGCATAAATAAATGCTGAGAAATGCAAATATTTGCAGTAATTTGTCCTGCAGTAACTGGATTATGGCGTTTTCTGGCTTTGTTGTGAAGAGTGAGCTAGTCAAAACAATACTAAAGGATCATTGGTGGAGCTATCCCTAAAACTTTACACATCATTTTAGCTTTGCATACTTATTTCTGTCTGAAGTCCTGTTACCTTTTGCTACAGTTTAAATATGAAATGTCTCCTACAGTGCTCTGAGCACTTGGGTCCCCTCCTGGTAATGCCACTGTGGGAGGTTTTGGGGGAGCCTTTGTAACATACAGCCTTGCTGGCTAATGTAGGCTACTAGGATGGGCCTTGCTTCTGGTCCTGTCTCCACTTCTTGATTCAACAAGACTTTTGAGGATGCTATTCCATGGGCTTCCACAACTGCAGCTGTCAGGCCCTCACAGCCATGATGAACTGATATCCCCTAAAACTGTTCAATCCTTCCTTCTTTGTCAGGTATTTTGTCACAGGGACAAGGAAAGCAATAGACCTTATTTTTTGTAAAATCATCTTTTTCAAAGGATACTTTGTATAGTGTAGTTCTTGTACTATAGGACTGAATTGCTGAATGTTTAGAATTACTCAGCATTTAAGACCCTTGCTATTCTTTTTTTCTATAACACAAAACACATTAAAATTAAAAAAAAATTTTATTTTTATTTTATGTGTATGCATGTTTTGCCTGTATGTATGTAAGCGCACTTGTATCATTCAATGCCTGGGGAGGACAGTAGGGGGTCTCATATCTCCTGGAACTGGAGTTATAGACAGTTGTTAGCTGCCAAGTGGGTGCTGGGATTCAAACCCAGGTCTTCTCCAAGAATAGCCAGTGTTCTTAACCACTGACCCATCTCTCCAGTCCCAGCACAGAACATATCTTAAAAATAATTTCTCTCTTTAGGAGTTTTTCAGTTCTGCTCTTTTTTTCCCCTTAAGGCCAGAATCAGAGGCAGCATTCTGGTGACAAAACAGTTCAGTATTTTTCTTGGTTTCCTTGACTACAAAGAAACCTCATTTGTGTGGTATCTTCACTAGCACATTTGAGGACACTGAAATCATCTGTCACTTTTTTCACACTATATATGTCAAATCTCAAGGAAATCCTAAAGAATTTTATTTTGTTCTTGCAATAAAGAGTAACACCTGTATAATACTATACAATTTACAGGAACCTTCACCTGCTTCATAAAACCTCTTCGAGGTTATCAGAATAATACCCAACTTATAGATGAGGATAACTTATATAGTGGTCCTAGAGATTCCTGCAATGGAATCCTGTGCTTTCACCTCTGCCTTCCTATAAGCCCCCAGGATGCACCCCCCCATTCCCTTTCATAGTGTATTTTCAGGAAATCACTAATTTACCATATTATTTGTAATTCATAAGTTCTTCGAAAGCATGAAGCAATACTAAGGTAGCAAAAATCTTGGACAAAACCCACATTGTTTTACTACGTACAAAACATTGCTGATGTATATAGCACATGTGTTCACACCAGAAGAAATTTCCACCGGAAAAAGTAAAATTGAATGACTTGATGTTCAAGTTCTTTTCTCTTGAGTTCCTCCTGCGAGCCAGAGATGCAAGATCCGTTGTGACGGGTCTTACAGTTGATTTGGCCAGCATTCTGTCCTTTCCTAGTCTCTTCACAGAAACTTCCAGAACTGCTCTTTTGAGGTATAAGTTGGCTTGCTGGTGAAGACTCCCAAGTTTGCAGTTCATATTACTTACCTGCCGGAGGTAAATCACATACTTCTGTCTGGGTGTGCTTGAAATGCTTCAACTTCCATTAGATCACCTAGCTTAACTGCCCCAGCTTCTCACGACCGTATCCGCCTCAGTTTTCAGCTAGTGTGGACGCACAGCGGGAGGTGGTGTTTACTGGCTCCTTCTGACACCTCAATTCCAGGCGCCCTACGTTTCCCTTCCGGCTTCCTGGGACAGTGTTTGGCCTTCCCGTTCCGGACTCAGTGGCCGCACCTTACTCCCCAAACGCCACCCTGGAAAACCTGGGATTGCTCCAGGTGTCGCTCTCCTCAACCCAGCGCACCGGACCGGCCCAAAAGGCGCTTGGCGGCCTGCGCATGCGGACTCGGCGGCCGCAGCCGGCCTCCCACAGCCCCTTCCCCCCGGCCCGCCGTGGCGGTTAGGAGCCCGCTGGCAGCTCCACGACCTACGGACGCAGCCTCCTCTTGTGCTTCCACGTTACCCTATCAGAGACGGGGCGGGGCGTCATCCTCCACAGCCAATCAGCGCTAACCACGAACCAGGCGAGCGCGGCCGCACATCGGCTAGGAGGGAGGCGATTGGATGACGGCGGCTGTAGGGGCGTGGCGTCTCTGGGCTCCGCCCACCGCTGTTTTCTGTCGCTGGGCGCCAGCCGCTGCCGAGGCCTGACTGACTGGGCGCCGACGGCGGGTGGGTCGCTGCGGGCTGGGCGCCGCGCGGGCTGGTGGGCAGCGTACCTTCGTCCTCCTCACCCTCCTCGGACATGGTGGCCCCCGGCTCGCTGAGCAGCCGGCTGGGCGCGGTGTTCCCCTTCCTGCTAGTCCTGGTGGACCTACAGTATGAAGGTGAGTCCCGCCCTGCCCTGGCGGCGCGGCTGGCTTCGGGTCAGGGGCCCGGGCGGGCGGCGCGGTCCCGGGCGCGAGGCTGGGCTATGTGGCGAGGAGCCGGCGGGGCCCATGGCGGGGTTGGCCGGAGCCTGGCTTGGGCGGGGGCTCGCGCGGGGTTCCGGGTTTTTCTGCGGAAGAGGTGAGGGGACTGGCGGGCCGCGAGGCCGGACTGCAGCTTGGGAGAGGAGCTCGGGGCTTGGCCGCGGTGCGCTCGGGGACAGCGGCTGGGGAGCGTCCCGGGACCCGGAGACCGGAGCGGCCGTCGGGTGCTGGCGCCTGGGACAGTTGTCGGTGGTGCGGGGGAGGCGGTAACGGCGGCACGTACGTCCGGGGTCCAGGTTCAGGGAGCGGGTGCTGGGGGGCGGCCGGGAAAGCGGAGAGGCGGTGTGACGGTTTCCGAAGTGAGTCCGGTCTCATCATGATATGTGGTGCTTAGTCCACGCTGTGGTTGGAGTTCCTAGCCCATAAGTTTCAGGACTCCGAGTTTGTGTTTTTACAATTCCCAGCATGGCGTTGTTCAACTTTCTGCTGTGCTACTTTTTCTAGTTCTCTGAGAAAGGTCTCCTTAAAAAGATAATGAGCGCTTGAATTTCACCCAGTCCAGAAGACTGGAATGTTGGCTACTCCGACAGAATAGCAAAAATAGAGGCAGGTCCCGTCTTGGATGTCAGCGGGGAGGAGTCGAGAATTGAAGCGCAAAGTGCCCATTGAACCAATGCTTCCCAACTTGGTTACTGTGCCAAATTATAGCTATCATGTGCACTGATCTGGTCTCATTCTCATAAGCTGGGGATAGTTGTCAAGGAAAAGACAAACAATTGAATATTCCATTCAGGTAGATTGAGGAGCTGAAGATGGGAATTGTTTGTTCTGACACACACACACACACACACACACACACTCTCTCTCTCTCTCTCTCTCTCTCTCTCTCTCTCTCTCTCAGGTTTTTTTTTCTTTTTTTTAAAGTAATACTCTTCAGCTTTTACATCTCCATTAATGTCAGTTTTTTTCCTTTTGCTTGTTTGTTTTTTGTTCTGCCTTCCTGATGACCATGTTTTCTTTGAACCCCAAATCAGAATATGTAATGTAAGAATACTGAGACCAAGAATTTGACATTGAGTCAGCCCCAGAAACTGGAGAGAATTGGAATTTGAAGGCCTGGACCACTTTAATATAGGTCGTATGCTCTAATTCTCTTGCATTTTCTAATTTTGTATTAGTTATTTTATGTTATGTCCAATTATCATTAATGATTGGTTTTGGACACCTAAGAGATAGTTACCCATGTTATGTTTAGTGTCAAAAAATGTTTTGTTATAGAGATGCTTCTTTTTGTATGATTCACCTTTTCCACTAGCTTGTAGACCACCTTTCTAGATTTTCTGTTCTTTGATTCTGTAGGATTTTTTAACATTTCATTTCTCTATTGTGATATTTCCATAAGAAAATTTTACTAGAATTTTCCTGTCTAGGAAATCCTAGTGACATCTCTCAGGAATGCAGAGTACTGTCTTTTTTAGGAGCATTTCCTGTGCAAAATAGCAGGGATGCAGTGCAGGTGATAGAGAAAAAAAAGAGCCTTCTTGGGAGCCATCTCTTTATTCATGGAGAGGTGTGATAGTCCTCTTTTATATATGTGGAAACTGAGGCTCCAAGAGCTTAAGTAAAGTTTACCTTGGGGCTAGAGAGATAGTTAAGAATATTTGATGCTCTTGCAGAGGATTGGAGTTCAGTTCCCAGCACCCATTGTCAGGCAGCTCATAACTACCTGTGACTCCAACTCCAGGGGCCCTCTTCTGGCTCTGTGGGCCTGCATACTTGTGTACACACACACACACACACACACACACACACACACACACATACACAAATAAAATAAAAAATTTTAACAGTCTTCCATATAGATGGTACACGGAAAATTGTTGATAGTATCCTATGAATTGAGTTCAAACATTTCTAAGTAGTGGCAGCTGAGAAAAATCAGCGTTTTAAGCTACCAGTAGAAAGTAACAGGAAGGTGATTTCCTGGAAGGTTTATTAGGGGTATTCTTTCCAGGTGTGCTGGTTCATGTGCAATCTCAGCACTCGAGATTGAGGCAGGAGGATTACCATGAGTTTAAGCACAGCCTGGGATATATCATAAGTTCTAGGCCAGTTTGAGCTACAGTGTGAGACCTCGTCTCACAACAAAACCAAAAAACATGCTCTCTTTTCATTACAGTGTTTTGCAATCTTGAGAGGAGCTCAGAATCTCACATGATGGGCTTTCAAAAAGAGTTCTAGGCATACTTCCAGAGCTTCTAATTTAGTAGGTCTTGATGGAACCTGAAGTTTTGCATTTCTAAAAGGATCCCAGATGACCACATTTTGATAATCTCTGGTGTAATAAAGTATATGGAGGTATTAAATTAGGGGTCATCTAGATTTGGTGATGGTATCAAGACTTAAAGTAGCAAATTATTAGCTTCTGTGTTCCCAAATAACTGTTATATTTGGATTCATTAACCACAGTTTTGAGAGAGGCATGCAGGTCAGATGGTGCTACACTAAGCTTATGGCTTGGAAAGAGAAGACCTAAAGGAGAATGGTTTGAGAATAGTGAATATGAAACACAGCTTCAGATTGTAGACATTGTTACTCACAATTGGCTTAAGTGGTCTGTTCTCCCCAGTATCTTTTTTATTAGGCTTTTCTGTTATAAGCCAGAGAAAATTGAAAGATTGGCTCATCAGTCCAACACTTTCTCAAAGGCCTTTCCAGGAAGTTCAGAGCAGTAGGTTAGAACTAAAAAATTTGAGGGGCTGGAAAGATGACTCACCTATTAAGAGCACTTGCTGTGTTTGCAGAGTACCTGGGTTTGGTTTCCATATGGCCGCTATTTCCAGTTCCAGGGTATCTGACAGTCTCCTCTAGTCTCAAGGGCACTGGCTATACACATGGTGCACATACATACATGCAGGCAAAACACTTGTGCACATAAAAAATAAATACAGTTTTAAAATAGAAAGAAAATATTAGGGGTCAAGAAATGTCTCAGCAGTTAAGATCACTGGCTGTTTTTGCAGAGGACCCGGGTACAGTTCCCGGCACCCGCATGGTGGCTAACAACCACCTGTAACTCCAGTTCCAGGGGATCCGACGCCCTCTTCTGACTTCTGTGGGCATTGCATGACTTGGGTGCACTTACATAAATGGAGGCAATGTACTCAAACACATAAAATAAAAATAATAAAATATTTAAAAATTTTTTTAGGGAATGCTTGCTGCTTTTGCAGAAGACAGGAGTTCAGCACCCAGCACCCTTGTCAGGCCACTCACAACTGTAACTCCAGCTCCAGGGATCTGAGACCCACACCTACACACACACACACACACACACACACACACACACACAATCTTAAAGGAAAAGTTTAGTAGTATCTACTTAAACGTCCTTATATTACAGGTACAGAGATTATTTCAGTTCTTTGCTAATGGCTTATTCTACTTAGTGACTTGTTAAGAATATAGACTGAAAACCGAACTTGTGTTGTCACATTTTTAATCTTTTTTTTTTTTCTTGACATATCAGGGACCCATTTTTAAAGTTTCAATGAATTAAACCATATATTTTGGCCATAGGGAAGACTTGAAAATCTATGTGAAGAAAAGGTTGTGATGAATCTTACTTACGCTAATCTACTTAAAGCATAATTTACTGCCGGGCGTGGTGGTGCACGCCTTTAATCCCAGCATTAGGGAGGCAGAGGCAGGGATCTTTGTGAGTTCAAGGCCAGTCTGGTCTACATAGTGAGTTCCAGGACAGCTGGAGCTACAGGGAGACCCTGTCTCAAAAAGACAAAAAAAAAAAACAAAACAAAAAACCCAAAAACATATTTTACCTTTTCTTTGGCATTAGATAAAAAGAGTAACTTTTTTTAAATGAAAATGAATGTCAGTAAGCAATTTATATAAGCGGATGTCTAGATAGCTTTCTAGAATTATTTTAACATTTAGTAAGATAGGTTATAAGGTTAGCAGTAGTGTTAATTTCATTTCATCAGACTAGTATTCGCTGAGAGAATGCTTGGAAGGACGGTTGTTTTCATTCTGTTGGACAGAAGTTGTTATGAGATACCTTGTAGCAAATAGGCCTTACTTTCACATGTGAAGTTTATTATGGTTAAGTTCAATTTCTATTGCCATGGTCTTTTTTGTAAAATTTATTTTTATTTTATGTGTATGAGTGTTATACTTGCATGTGTGTAAGTGCACCTGTATTGTGCAATGCTTGTGGAGGCTAGAAGAGGGTGTCAGATTCCCTGGAACTGGAGTTATGGATGGTTGTTAGTTGCCATGTGGGTGCTGGGATCTGAACCCAGGTTCTCTGCATGGTCTCAACTGCTGAGCCGTCTCTCCAGACCCACCATGGTCTTCTTTTATTTTTATCTTTTTTTTTTTTTTTTTGAGACAGGCTCTCTGTAGTTCAGGCTGCCTGGTTGGAACTCTGGAACTTCATATGTATACTAGACTGGCCTAAAGCTAGAGTTTACAGACTAGGGAATATAAGGTATGCTTCTGGGAAGCATCCATGCCCCTTTTACCTACTTCATTTGTGCTCAGTAGCCCTTACTGCAGTCACTTTATTACAAACACCCTTAAATTCTCTGCTTCTGTGTTCTTTGGCTTTCCTCATCTGGCAGCTTTCCAAATCCATTAAATGCAAACTTGGCCATATTGTGTACCTCAGAGATGAACACAGATGGAATAAACAAGCTTTACTGTTAGTCTCATTTTTAAGTACCCAATTTCTCAAGTGTACCCTCAATATTGCTAATAATCGTGTAATTCAGTATGTCTGTTCATGAAAAATCAGTATTTCAAACCTTTTCCCTTAAACATGCAAGCCCAATTTAAACTTCCCTTTTCTTTCCTTACCTTATGCTTGTTAATTTTTTTTTTTTTACATTTGCCTATTT